CCTGTGCCAGTGTCCTGACCCCTGTGCCAGTGTCCTGATTCCCCAGCTCCCCCTGTGCCAGTGTCCTGATCCCAACTCCCCCTTTGCCAGCGTCCTGGCCCTTGTGCCCCCTGCACCAGCGTCCTGGGCCTGACCCAGCTCACCCTATGGCAGTCCTGGGCCTGGCACCTCCCTGTGGGCACAGGCAGAGGCAGCTTGGGCTCCCGCCTTTCCCACTCTTGGGATTCATGTTTGACTCACAGTGTGGGCATCACCCTGTCCTAAGTGGGCTGCCTCTTGCTTCCCTCGCCCACCTGGGTGGGACTCAGGAGGAGGGCCAGGGCTCCTTCCCCAGCCTCGGGGGTTCCCACCAGGCTGAGACCTGTGGGTTGGGTTGCAGGCTCTGGGCCAGGCTTGTACAACCTGCCATCTACAGTTGGCTACGTCAACCATGACTGCACCAAGGTGGCCAGTCCTGCCTACTCACTGGCCCGGAGGCCCAGCAGAGGTAAGGCCAGCTGGCGAGGGCATGGTGTGCTGGGGCTGGCCAAGCCTCCAGAATTCCCCAGTAGCATTCTGGGCCTTTTTGCCCCATACATTCAGTCCCCCAACTGATGAAGTGGGAAGCAGCAGGGCTGATCACACCCTGCTCCATCTCCCATTGGCTGTGTACCCTCAGGCAAGCTACTGCCCTCTCTGGTCCTGTTTTCTTCCAGATTAAGAGAGGGGAGGAGGAGAAGCCTATATGCTGCTAAGAGCTGTGCTCACCTTCTCCCTTTTGCAATTCCTTGCTCCTTGACTTCAGGCGACTTGCTTCACGGATCCTCTGTTAAATGTTAGCAATGCAGCTGGGGTGTGGCTGGTCCAGCAGGCCTGGGCTCCATCCCCAGCACTGCAGATGCACCCAGAAGACACAAGGGTACTAGCGTCCGGGAGGTGCTCTGTAGAAGCAGGCCTTTGCCTGTGGGTGCTGAGCACACTGTTCCCAGGGTAGTGAAGACTGTGGGGCACAGAGTCCCCAAGGATGGGGGTCCAGAGCCTGAGGAGGAGAGGTCGGAGCCTCCGACTTTACGCAGGGCAGCCAGAGAGCACATGTTCTGACAAATGCAGGTGACAGCCATGCCTCTGGGGGTGGGGTGAGAGTGGGAGGGAGACGGGCCTGTGGCCAGGCCTGGGGAGGAGCATGAGACTGACTAGGATCTGGACACCAGCGGGCTGGGCACCACCTGTGCACCCTGGTGTGGGGAGGAGCGGGGTGACACCCAGTCTGGCCACTCCAGAGGCCCAGGGCCTCGGCGTCCCTCCACAGCCCTCAGGGTGGGTGAGGAACCAGTGAGTGCTGGCCCTTCCTGCAGGGCCGCGCCACTCGTGTGGGTGCACGCTGCCCGTGGGGTCACCCAGGCCAGCACGAGACCAGGGTGCCGGTTGCTTCTCTTCTCCTGAGTGGATCCAGCATGAGCGGCCTGGAGGCTGACTCGTCATGCGCGCAGGGTGGGCTCAGTGACGGCAGAACTGCTCCAGGCACTGAGACGGGGCCCTGGGCCACGTGCGTGGACCCTATCGACATGGATGAACCGGCTGGCCAAGGCTTTTCCCAAGGACCCTATCCCCTGAGTGGCCCTGCTGGGACTGGACAAGGCCCTGGGCTCTGGGCACGGCAGGTGTGCCCACAAGCCAGGAGCCAGCACCAGCGCCAGCCAGGCCTCCTTGCTCTGGCTCCAGGCCTGGGGCGGCAGGGGGGCTTGGCTGTGGTCTGGTGGTCAGAGCAGAGGCCTGCCACCAGCTCGGGGCCACGGGCTCCCCACAGCAGGGCCGTGTGCTGGGCAGTCAGGGTGCTGTGGGTGTGAGGCTCCCTCAGGACTCTGGGCGCCTTTCCTCAGCTCCTCCGCAGGATGCCAGCCCAGGGCCTGTCTACTTCCTGGACCCGAAAGTGACTCGCTTTGGCCGCAGCTGCACCCCAGCTTACTCCATGCAGGGTCGCGGAAAGTCTCGGGGTGAGTGTGCCCAGCACTGCCCGTGGGGCTGTCCTTAGGGCCTCAGCCCTCATGCTCAGAGTCCTTAGAACAGACCAAGAGACTTGCACAGGGGTCACACCTCCAGTGCCCACCAGGCCTGAGAGGACCTGGATGTGAGTGGACCAGGGTCGCCATGGCCTATGCACATGGCATGTGAGGGCACCAGAAGGCCAGCAGCTGCAGTGCTCTGCTCAGGTCCCTTCCTGGCCATCAGCAGGCTCGCACCCATACACCCCGGGACTACGGCCTCATTGTCCACACAGCTGCCTTCCCTCTCACACCACAAGTATATCCACCCACCTGCCCATCCACCCACCACCCACCCACCTACCTACCCATCTACCCACCTACCTACCCACCTACCCATCCACCCACCATCCACCCACCTACCCATCCACCCACCTACCCATCCACCCACCATCTGTCCATCTTCCATCCACCCACCACCCACCCACCTACCCATCCACCCACCTACCCATCCACCCACCATCCACCTACCCACCCACCTACCCATCCACCCATCACTCACCCACCTACCCATCCACCCACCTACCTACCTACACACCTACCATCCACCCATCACTCACCCACCTACCCATCCACCCACCTACCTACCTACCCATCCACCCACCTACCTACCTACCCATCCACCCACCTACCTACCCACCCACCTACCCATCCACCCACCACCCACCCACCTACCCATCCACCCACCATCTGTCCATCTTCCATCCATCCACCCACCCATTCACCCACCCACTCATCCCACTGACCCATCCAACCTATCCATCCATTCACCTACCCATCTCCCCACCTATCATCCACCATCCATCCACCTACCTGACCATCCACTCACTGTCCATTCACCCACCTCATCCCACCTACCCATCCACCTACCCACTATCCACCATCCGTGCACCCACATACCCCTCCACCCACCAACCATCCATCCTCCCACCATCCACCCAAGAGCCTTTCCTTCCTTCCACTCAGCCACTCACCCATCAACCCATCTTCACATTTTCAGGCCCACCACCAATCCCCTGCTTCCTGACCACCCACCCACCCCTAAATCACACATGGACTTCACAAGAGCCCAGTGTGTTGGTGGACTAAAACCTAGAGTGGCCAGGACTAGGGAGAGGAGGATCCAAGTTGGGGGTCCCAGGAAGGGGTGTGAGGGCTCTGTCCATAAGAGGGGATAGGGAGGGCAGCAGAAGGGCTGGACTGCAGTTCTGGCTGGGGAGTGAGATGTACCCTTGGGAGCAGGGATGGCAAATAGAAGGCCTGATGGGCTGAGCCTGCCAAAGGCCTGTGCTTGGAAAACAGTGCATGAGTCTCAGGATGCTAGTGGGCAGTGGGGGCCGTGCCAAGTGTCCAGCAGGCCAGGACTCTGTCTTGCACCAACCCTGTGTTTCTACTCTCACAGGTCTGGAGGTGACACCAGGCCCTGGGTCCTACAGCCCAGAGAAAGTGCCCCCTCTGCGCCAGCGGAACCCCCCAGCTTTCACGCTGGGCTCCCGCCTCTACCAGAAACCCCTGGACACCCCAGTTCCCGCCCCTAATGCCTACACCATGCCACCCCTCTGGGGCTCACAGATCTTCACCAAGCCCAGGAGCCCAAGTTACACCGTGGTGGGCCGCACCCGCCCTGCCCGCCCCCCACAGGACCCTGCTGATACACCAGGCCCTGGCCAATACGACAGCCCAAACCCCAACACCTACCGTCAGCGATGGCCAGCATTCACCATGCTGGGTCGGCCCCCGTGCCCTGCGCTTGCTGGAGGAGGCACCTGGCCCTGGCACCCACAGCCCGGAGCAGGTCACTGTGAACAAAGCCAGGGCCCCAGTGTACACCATAGGCATCCGCCACTCTAAACGGGCTGTCACCGTGGCTGCAGACTTCACACCCTAACAGGGCATATCCCCCATGTCCACCCCCGTTTCCTGAGTGGCTGAGTGGGTGTGGGCAGATGTGGCTCTCAGAGAAGCCAGGGCAGCAGGCAGGAGTCTCTCCCTAACCCTAATCCCTGCTGTCTGAGGTCCTTCTAGGTTATATGACCCACTGTCCCCGGGGGCCACGGCCTGTGGCTCCAAACAGCGTGAGGGCCAGTCTCCTCCTAGTGACCCAGTTTCTTCTGTCACGGTCATGCCAGGCTAGGTCAGGCAGGGGAAAGTGTCCCTTTCCCTAGCTGGAGATGGAGCGTCCTGTGCCCTAGAACTTGGTGTCTGGCCCCACTAGGATCTGGATCCCTGACACAGCTCTGGTGTCTGCCAAATCTGGGCTCTTCCCTGCTTCTCATGAACGTGTGGCCACTGAATGTGGGTTGGGGCAACCCTGAGGTACCTGCCCTCCCCACTGTACCCTTTAGAACTCCTTATCAATAATGTCAGCCTCAGGCACACCAGGTCATGTAGCATCTGTTCCTGCCGCAGAACACTCCTCTCCAGGGCCAGTCCCACAGCTCTGCAGCCCCCTGCAGGGGGGGCAGATGGGACTCAGGCTGGGGGAGGCCAGAGGTGGAAGTTTTGAGCTGGGGAGGGCAGGCAGGGTTCCTGGGAGAGGGAATGTGGAATCTGGTTTAAAGATGTGTGTCTTCCAACACCTGCTATCAGTAGCTGTGCACTGCTGATGGTCTTGATGAAATGTCACCTAGGCTTTAGAGTTGGGGACCTGTTCATGATCCATGGTACCCTATGGATCCAATGTCAGGATGGTGCAGGATTTGAACCCTAACCACTGGGCTCCACTCATGCCACTCTCTACTAGGGACAGTTAACAGTGGTGGTGTCATCTGACCACCACATGCTGGACTAACAGGCCAGGCCCAGTACCTACAAACCTTGTCTGCTCAGAGAGACCCTAATTCAGGTCTGGCACCTGGAAGTGAATCCTCTCCATCCCCTGCCCAGAGTAAGCACCACCCAATCCCACAGGTGTGTCCCCGGCTGGGCAATGTGTTCCCACCGCTTTCTCCCACCAAGGCGCAGCTCCTGGCAGCGCCGACACACCCGGGCCGTGGTAGTCACTCAAAAGTCCCGGGCCAATCGTGGCCGCACCGCCCTCCCGTTCCGCGGGCGCAGCGGGTGTGACCTCATCGCTTGCGTTTATGGGTCAGTTCTGGGTTGTGCCCCTCCTTGTCCACCTGCTGCATCCGCCCCCCCCTTTGTTTTCCAGACCTTTCCTGGGCGGGGGCTGGCGGTCAAACAGGATCAAGGCCAGGGGGCTGCGACACTCCGTTCCCGTTCCGTGCGGAACTCCTGGGGTTTGAACGCGGTGGGCCCTGCTCCCAAGGTCAATGAGGCTGGGACTGGGGGCCTGGGAGGCCAAGGCCGGAGTTGGATGCGCTGAGGCGGGACAGCGCTCTTCAGAAATAAGAGGAGTGACCCTTCAGTCCACGCTCTGGGTTTACAGGCCTGGGAAACTGCGTCCAGGGAGAGACAGCGGGAGGGCTCCATCTCAGAACCCTGGAGCCTCGGCACAGCCGGGCAGAGCCTCCGCGGTGCGCCCTGGGGCACGCCCCTTCCCTCCCCAGACGTGATCTGCCTGGCTCAGTGGAGAGAGTGAGGGCTGACCTTAGGATAGGGGTTCTTTTCGTCTTTGATGGAGCCACTGCCTCTCTCCGGCCTCAGTTTCCCCATCAGTCCAAAGGTGATTTCTAAGCCTCTCCCAGCTGTACCTCCTAGAGCGGCGGGCGTGGGGGTGTTGTGGGGGTTGTTGCTGGGCTCAGGGTTCGATACCTCGCCCCTCTCTGGCCTCCGTGGGCTTCCATCCCTCAGGCCCCAGCCAGGCGCCAGGATGCGCAGGGCTGGGGTCCCAGGGGCGCAGCCCCCTGCGGCTGCGCGCTGGGCCGGTCGGTGACATCACCAGGCCAGGGAGGGGAGGAGCGCGCGGGAGCTCAGGGCCTCGATAGCGCCAGGCACAGCCCGGGTCGGCTCGGTCCGGTGGCCGCAGCCATGACGCAGGGTCCGGGCTGGCGCGCGCCCTCCGCGCCCCCCGCGCCCCCCGAGCCCGAGGCACCCACCACCTTCTGCGCGCTGCTGCCGCGCATGCCTCAGTGGAAGTTTGTGGCGCCCGGCGGCTTCCTGGGCCGCGGCCCCGCAGCAGCGCGGGCGGCGGACCCTCAGACCGAGCGCGAGGGCCCAGCGGGCGTCCCCGCGTTGGCTGCTGCTGTGCTTGGCGCCTGCGAGCCGCGCTGCGCCGCGCCTTGTCCTCTGCCGGCGCTCAACCGCTGCCGAGCTGCGGGGGCGCGCGGGCCTCGGGGCGCGCGGGGTGCGTCCGGGCCCCCAGAAGCCGCCGCGGACGAGTGGGTCCGCAAGGGAAGCTTCATCCACAAGCCCGCGCATGGCTGGCTGCACCCCGACGCCCAGGTCCTGGGGCCCGGGGTCTCCTACATCGTTCGGGTGAGTGCGCACTCAAGGACTCCCTGGTCCGGTCCTCCCCAGTCGCGAGTTCTGGGACTCTCCCCCATTTTCTCTCTGGGGTCTCTGGCCCCCAAAGCCAGGAGTGGCCTCTCCACCCTTTCTCCCCATCACCCCGGACCCCCATCTCCAGCCGGCGCTCTGCGGTTGTCTCCATCCGGGATGCGCTGGGGTCCCGGTTCCCTCCGCGTCACGTGGGGAGGCGGCGGGTGGGCAGGGGCCACGCATGCGCAGATTAAGCACCCCTTGCTGAGACCTGGATAAGGGCTTCCACCCAGCCGGCTGCCGGTGGAAAGCTCCATCAGTTGGGGCCTGCGGAGGCCTGGCCAGAGGTGCCAGGGTGGGAAGGGCTCTTTGGTAAGCGCTGATGTCTAGACCCCAGGAGTCCTGCTGTGAGACCACTGGACCTCAGATGTGGCTGAAGAGACCCCCCCATTGTTAATCTGGGTTTATATTAAAGACCTTCTCAACATAGAGGAAGCTGGAGAAGGGGTGCCCGCAGTGCCACCTGGGACGCTGGCATCTTGCCTTCTCTGTCCACCTGACCCTGTGTGTGCGTAGCTTTGATAAACCACCTGAAAGCAACCTGCAGGTGTGTGATGGCCCTCCATCTCCTGCCTGCTCTCCTGGGATAGCCTCCCGCACACCCGTTCAGAGGCCGATCACCCATTCCCAAACGTGGCTGGACGCCGGGCCGTTTCTCCGGCACCAGGATCCTGGAACCTTGTGTGTTCGGTAGTTATATCTTTGCTTTCTCTAGAACAGTCCCCCAGCATCACAGTGTCCCCCCAAGTTTCGTGTCCATCAGGGACCTGTGAGTGGGTCTCATCTGGAGGCAGGAAGAGGTTAGAGAAAATGAGACAGAGGCTCTGGTGATACTGGAAGTGGAGGGCCTCTGAGGCTTGACCCTCCCCTAGAGCCATTTTGACATGTTGGACAGAGTTCACAGTAAGGACTTCTGGCTTCCCTAGGTGCTGGGCTACCATCACCACTTCACCAGAGAAGTGGTGTGTGCCTGGCTCTGAAAAACACCCCTGCAGGAGAGTCCCACAGGAGGCCCACGCTAACTGAGGGAAGGATGCAGACGTGGACACAAGTCAAGGACTCTCCTCCTCACTGCAGTGTGGTCCTCCTGTGCTGGTGCTGTGCAGGAGAACGCAGGGGTTTGCAGGGCTGAGACCTTTTGGGCAGCAGAGACAGCTTATTTCTTGAAGGCAAGGGGTAGGGTGGCTCCTGGGAGTTCTCCGAAGACCAGGTTCTTCTGGCACAGCCATCTTCAATGTGCTGGCTCAGAGGCCCTCACTACCATGAAGTGCAGCTACAGCACCGAGCATCATGTGTGGGCCCAGCCTCTCTACCAGAGGAGAAGATCATTCCTTCCTTGGGAATTTTCTTCTTCTTCTTAAGAGGTTCCACCTCCCATCCCTCATGTCTCATGGTTGGGAAAACAGAGTTACCAAATTGGCTCCAATCTATGGTGAGCTCCATCTACCCATCGTCCATTCTCCAGCAGCATAAGCAGTGTTCCTCCCCCTACAGTCCTAGAACACCAGACACTAGCATGAACAACCCCGAGACACATGTACTGCTGAGGGAGGTACCTACTAAGCACTGGCATCCATCCAGAGCTGTCCACTCCATCCTGGGGACAGAGACCGGCTTCTCTTCAAGTTGCTACATGTCCGACAGTAGCTTGGCATATAGTCCACGCCCATCATTCATCTGTCAGTCCACCCACTGTCCATTCATCCAACTCTCCATCCACTCATCTTCCTGCCCACCAACGTATGTCACCAATCAATGCCCATCTGTCCATCCATCCACACATCCGTTACCCATTCCCCCATCCATCTATCCACTCATACATACATACATCCCTTATCCCTCCATCCGTTTGCTTATCTAACTATATATTCATCTACCCATCAAAAATCTATCCATCATCTTTCATTCATCCATCCATCCATCCATCCAACCATCCATTCATCATGCATCATGCAGCTTAAATCTGTCAGTAGACCATCCATCCTCCATTACCCATCCATTCTCCATCTACCCATCCATCCATCACCCATCTACCCATTCATCCGTCCATCCTCCATCTACCTATCCACATGTCCTCCATCTACCTATCCATCTGTCCTCCATCTATCCATCCATCCATCCATCCATCCTCCATCTACCCATCCATCCATTCTCCATCTATCTATCCATCCTCCATCCATCCATCTTTCCTATCTACCCATTCATCCTCTATCTACCCATCCATCACCCATGTACGCATTCATCACCCATCCATCTGTCCTCCATCTGCACATCTATCCTCCACCTACCCATCCATCCATCCTTCATCTACCCATCCATCCATCCTCCACCTATCCATCCATCCATCCATCCATCCATCCTCCATCTATCCATCCATTCATCTTCTACCTATCCATCCATCCTCTATCTACCCATCCATCACCCATGTACGCATTCATCACCCATCCATCTGTCCTCCATCTGCACATCTATCCTCCACCTACCCATCCATCCATCCTTCATCTACCCATCCATCCATCCTCCATCCATCTATCCATCCTCCATCTACCCATCCATTCTCCATCTATTTATCTATCTGTCATTTGTCTACCCATCTATCCTCCATTTCCCTATCCATCCATCCTTCATCTATCCAATTGTCCTCCATCTACCCATCCATCCATTCTCCATCTATCTATCCATCCTCCATCTACCCATCCATCCATCCTTTATCTATCCATCTATCCATCCTCCATCCATCCATCCATCTTTCCCATCCACCCATTCATCCTCCATCTACCCATCTATCACCCATGTACGCATTCATCACCCATCCATCTGTCCTCCATCTACACATCCATCCTCCATATACTC